TCGTGTTGGAAGACCCAGCCACGTTTCATCTTCAAAGCTCTCACTGATGGAAGGAGGTTTTGGCTCAGAATCTCATGATACATGGCCCCATTCATTCTTTCATTAACACAGATCAGTCGTCCTGTCTCCTTAGCAGAAAAACAGCCCCAAAGCATGATGTTCCCACCCCCATGCTTCACAGTAGGTATGGTGTTCTTGGGATGCAACTCAGTATTCTTCTTCCTCCAAACACGACGAGTTGAGCTTATACCAAAAAGTTCTACTTTGGTTTCATCTGACCACATGACATTCTCCCAATCCTCTGCTGTATCATCCATGTGCTCTCTGGCAAACTTCAGACGGGCCTGGACATGCACTGGCTTCAGCAGCGGAACACGTCTGGCATTGCAGGATTTGATTCCCTGCCGTTGTAGTGTGTTACTGATGGTGACCTTTGTTATTGTGGTCCCAGCTCTCTGCAGGTCATTCACCAGGTCCCCCCATGTGGTTCTGTGATTCTTGCTCACCGTTCTCATGATCATTTTGACCCCACGGGATGAGATCTTGCGTGGAGCCCCAGATCGAGGGAGATTATCAGTGGTCTTGGATGTCTTACATTTTCTGATAATTGCTCCCACAGTTGATTTTTTCACACCAAGCTGCTTGCGTATTGTAGATTCACTCTTCCCAGTCTGGTGCAGGTCTACAATTCTTTTCCTGGTGTCCTTCGAAAGCTCTTTGGTCTTGGCCATAGTGGGGTTTGGAGTCTGACTGTTTGAGGCTGTGGACAGGTGTCTTTTATACAGATAATGTGTTCAAACAGGTGCCAATAATACAGGTAACGAGTGGAGCACAGAAAAGCTTCTTAAAGAAGACGTTACAGGTCTGTAAGAGCCAGAGATTTTCCTTGTTTGAAGTGACCAAATACTTATTTTCCACCCTGATTTACAAATAAATTCTTTAAAAATCCTGCCATGTGAATTCATGGATTTTTTTTTCACATTCTGTCTCTCACAGTTGAAGTGTACCTATGATGTAAATTACTGACCTCTGTCATCATTTTAAGTGGGAGAACTTGCACAATCAGTGGCTGACTAAATACTTTTTTGCCCCACTGTAAATGTCAGTATAAACTTGATAACTTTAAGGTTAAGGGCTTTTTGTGATACATGAATGTTATTTTAGTTTGAAATGTTACAGTAAAAGTGCTTGTATTGCGGTCTCGGCTCGTATGTTCGGCCGTTCGGTGTCGTAATTCTCCTGCTACGTTTCCCCCCTGATTTTAACAGAAGTTTGTATTTTGGGGACAAAAGAGAGAACCACGGACTTTATTAAGCTTAGGGCGAAGATGGACTACATGTTCACTGGAGCAAAGTATTCGGCGGCTTTGGCATGGAGGTACAATAACATCTCATATTTTAAAAACTGTCGTTTCAGTTTAGTTTTTTCTGCCAAAACATGGATGGAATAACCCGTTGTCCTCTTTTCTCTATCTTTTCTCTTCCTGTTTTATTTCTTACATGTTTGTTAAGACTATTCTGGAGAAAATTGGCATCCAGGAGAAGGTGACAGGGATGACCAGCTTCTGGAGCTGATCAGGGAGGACATGAGGCTGCAGAGGGAGGCAGAGCAGCAGAGGGCACAGGAGAGAAGGGAGAAAGTTGACAGGTTTTTACTTTGCTAGAAAAAATGGTTAATAAAGATTAAACATGTACATATAAAAGAAATATCTAAATAAAATCAGTTCTGTATTAAACTCTTGAATTTTATTTTTGTTTACAAATGTGAATTGTTTAATATTGCAGGGTATCCGTTGGGTATTGAAAAAGATTAAAAGGTGATAAATCGGTTTTGGTCAAATTAAGACCCTTAGAAAGTATTAAAAACTATTATCACATCTTTGCTCAGGCTCAGCTTGTCGAAAGTATTTTCTCTGAATTAGCTCTCCAACAGAAAAGGAAATGATTAAAAACCTAAATAAAACTTTGAGCTCCATCATTTAAAGTTCCTTGTCCCTTCTGCTCAGCGGTTCCACGGTTGCTAGGCGACGGAACGTTTGCCGAGGGAGTGGCGGGAATTCATGAAGGCTAGGCCTGTCCAAATTCACAGCCGTTAACATCCGGTCCACTCGGTCGACGGAGGACCCAGCCCACGTCGGCCGAGTAGGCTGGGTCCTTCGAAGGATGCAGACCCTGAATTGAGACACAGCGACAGGGTGTTTCTCAATGCCAAGGAACCTCGCCTTGATGTCTTGGCCCTGCCACGGTTGCCTAGTAGATGCGTCATCAGGAGACGCCAAGACGTGTTCCAATGTTCATGTTCTACTGAGGCGTGTGTTCTCCATTTTTTAGCCATTTAGGAAGCTGAGCAAGGATACACGGAAGGTGTCTTGTAGCCTAGCTTTGGTCAAACATTACCCCAAATACACTGCAATATTTTCTAAAGGATGGCGGATCAGAAGCTGGCAGCTATTTCAGGGACAATTTTCAAGTTTAAAAGTAAGTCAACTAATTTTAAATGTTTTTTTTAGATCCAAAGAATTTATCTATGGTTGTTAGTTGCTTAGTAGTTGCAGCTTCAGTTAGCGGGTAGTAACTCACTTAAACATTACATTTAACAAATATATACACAATTGAAAAGGTAAAAGGCTCGTTGTATATTTATATTGACACTAATACATATAAAATATAACGTTGTCTCCCGTGTCATGTGACTGCGGCTTCCACGGCGGTCACGTGACATGGGAGATAACGTTACATTAGTATATATGTAAGTCTGTTCCATTTAACCATTTTCTTTGACCATGGAAGGACAGTGTCCTCATAAGCAAGGCGCCTGGCCTTGCAAAACATCTCCTCGCAAGGCCAGGCGCCTTGACATTGAGAAACACCCCAAGACCCGCTCCCATGAATTTTAGACCTGATTTTTATGGTTATACGTTACAAAGCCGCCAACATTGTTCAACAACTGGGCATCATTTAATCAATTTTCAACAACATTTGGAAAGATATTTCAAAGGATTAACAGTAAAAACTACTCATTGTCACCAATTAATTCAACAGCCTTCATGCTGCCAGTCACACTTCTGCATGTTATGTTTGGCACACTTATGTTGAAATGTTGTTTCTACTTCTTTACTTTAGCGCCATCACAGGCTTGACCACGATTGGTACGTGCCACGCTCGCCTATCTTTTTGCTGTAGGCCAAATTTTTAAAGACATTTTGCCTTGCAAGAATAACAAAAGAAAGCCACTGAAGACGGCTGCATTCCATGTCCACAGCTTTACTTGTTGGTTGTTCTTTAACACTTCTAAATAGAATGCAGCCCTTCTTTTGACACATGGGCTTCCCGTACAATTACAAATACAGGACTATCACTAGGGGGTGTGGTCTAGATCAGGTATCGTTTTCAAAACTCCCAGTTAGGAGTGAGTGGAGAGGTTTGATGTGTCAAATGGAAGCAAGAGCATTTTCTAAAAGTTTATAAAATATCAATTACAAAAACAGCTTAGAAAAATAATCCAATTTTGTCCACTTGTAGCCAAGAGTTCATCATTCCAGTCAGAATGTATCTCTTTTTTTCTAAAGTGAGGCTATTCCAAAAACTACCAATGACAACTGCTCAAAACTTTGGCACAGAAACCCACAAATAAGACCTGAACTGTCACTTTAGCAAACAGCTTGATTTAAAATCCTAAAAAACACAAATGGAGAATGCTCCATGAAGACCACACCACCCTGCATCTGGAACGTAGCGCTTGGATCCACCTTTAGCCGACGCACGACCGACGTTGGGCAACATACGCGACTCGTGGTTTATCATCAACATGTTAACTTTATTTGAATTTGAAGTACAATGAAGAGATGATTCGAGAAGCTATATAAGTTATCAGTGACAACAGACCTAGACACTCCATTAAGAACAAAAGGAACAAACACATTGTGAACATGGGAAGCCCCGCCCACCCCGCCCCTCCCACACACTCCTCGTCTTCTTGATTGTAACACATAAGGTCTAAACTGTTTTGCAGTTCAAGGACTGACATCAGCTTATGACTAAATATACACAGGCGTTTCAGCACCACAGTTCAAAAGTCTTCAGGGGTAAGAAAAAAAAGTAAGGAATTTTTTTTTCCATTAGGATATCATGAAACACTGGAAAACCAAACGTGTATTTGTGCAACACACAGTGTAATTAAATGTTGTAAAAGCTGCATCATGACTGATTGTTTCTCAAGCTGATGATAAGTAGACTCCACTTGTTTTATTTAAAAAAAAGATTTCTGAGTGAGTCTCACGACCAAAATAAAACCAAGTACAGTAAATTCCAAGAAATATTCCCTCTGTTACAAAGATTTCAGTATTATCAACAGCAAAAAGTCTTCATTGTCAAAGTGAAACGTTGTTGATTATGGTTTCCAAAAAAAAATTAAAATAAAATCACCCGGGCTTGAGTGAGTCAACCCTAGTATTTGTTCAGCACAATATAGGATTTATTAAATATCATAATTCCAGGACAAACATTTACATGCCTGCATGCTTTCTCATCAAAAATGGCAGCTATAGGAAAGGATGAAGATGATGGCTCAGAGAGAGAAAAACAAAAACAGGAGGTTTATATAAATGGTGGTATTGGTTGCCTAATAGCTCTACTGCATACACAATACCTCTTAACATTATTTACACATACCTCATCGGTCCACGGGGATTCGGCAGAGCCACCTCTCTTATCGTTAGCTCTCATATGTACAACCATGGTAAAAATGAAACTTGATTGTATTATCATCTAATTTAGAAAACATCAAACATCAGTCTTTTTTTTGTTTTTCTTCTGATGACCACGTGGATAGATTCATATGTTTTCCTCCCCACACATCATTTCTAGGATTTTATTGTGAAATACAAAACAAAACTTCAGTCGGATTTCTATTTCAAAGCTTTCTCGCTGGCTGAGATACAGTATAAAAATCTTCAGTGCTGTGAATGTTAGGAGTTAGAACCAACGATGCACCTTGGGTACATTTTTCCTTCTTCTTTCTTTTTTTTTTTTTTTACTGTGCTCGGTATATATGTTTATCCATCACGTCGGCCAGCCTGTCATGTCTAAACCTGTCTTATTAAACTGTTTTATGTTGGCCAGCGTGATGAAAAAAAAAAGACTTTTTCTACATTCCTCCAGCATTTATGGTGAACACAGCATCTCCACCTACAAGCAGCCCAGTCGGCCTGGATAAGAACTCCTTCACGGCCTTTCTTTTCTTTCCTTTCCTGTTTTTTCATGAATTTTCCGTCTTTTTCCTCCAGCTCCTCGCGGCCTTATCAGTACATCACTGCAGTTTTCAGGAACAGCCTTCCATCTGGAACAGAGAAGACACGCACACACACACGCACGCACGCACGCACGCACGCACACACACACACACACACACACACACACACACACACACACACACACACAGGAGGCAAAGATTAGCCAACAGCTAACAATCTGCTGACGCAAATGAACTATTCGGGATGTGATTGTTGATGAAACGTATCTTTGAAATATTGCCCTCTGGTCTTTCAATGTGAACTGCATTGCTTTGAATACATAAGCTGATCTCAGGATGAGATAAAGGTAGCAGCCATGACAAATATGATTAAATATCATGTCACATAATTAACATTATTACTCATGAAATATGAAAAAAACAACAACCTCAAAGTAGCTTCAAAATGATTTTCTTGGGCCTCTTTAGCGTGTTTTTCTGTAAAAGTTAGATGTCTATCTGAAGTGCTACTGTTTACACTCTTATGGACGGTTGGGTTTTCTTCACATTTGGAGTGCAAGTGCAAAGTGCAAGTGGATGCAGTTGGTGAGGTTGGCATACTATTTCCTCTTTAAGACTAGCTGTTAGCTCATCAGTCCTGTTGGAAAAAACCTCATAGACTGTTCAGGAAGTTTTATATGACAAAAATCTCATTTATTTAAAGAGAAAGAACTGAAAATCAGTTCAGCTTAACATCTGAGACTATCTGGGAAAAAAACACAATCCTGCTTTTAATCCTTACAAAGCACATTTTATCAAAGTAGCGCAAGAACCGCATCCAGAGGTGAAGGCCACACATGCTCTCCCTATACATCCTGGTTTGACCATTACACCATATTCAAGACGTAAAGCCCTTCTCTAAATGACATCTCCTGTGTGGAAATGGTGGATATTGAAAACGGCAGACAGTGCTCTGTTATATTATCAGCAGACACCTACCACCTAACGAGCTTTGTCCGCTGCCAGAGAGCGCTCTTGTCTGAGTGTTCGCCTGAGCGAGCTGCACCGCTCAGGCGCTGAGCTGGTAAAAGCAGCTGTTAGGCACAGCTCAGGAGCCTGGCTGACGTTTATTACCCTTCACGTGTTTCTCTTTTCTTTTTGCTGGAGAACGCCACGGTTACACCTTCCTAAATAACTCTACGGTAAAAGGAACCCTGTTCAGAGACATCTAGGAGGACTAAACGTCAGACATGACACAAGAACACGTTACTGGATGTAAACTTTCTTTGATTTTTTCACTTATTTCCCAGTTTCTATTAACATTTTATCATCATTTAGTCCTGTTTAACCTTTTGTGTATCGTACACAGACAAGAGGAGACAACAAAAGCTGTTTGTGTGTGCGTTTGATTGTGTGTACAATGAATAGGGGGTGTTTTGGTGTTTGTGTGTGTACAAACACACAGGCTAATTACCCAGCACTGCCGTAGGTCTCAAAGGCATTGCACTCTGGTGCTGCCTCTACTCGAGCAACAACCACCGAGTTTTGCGTAAAAGTCATTACAGCATGAATGCAGCGGCACGGAGAGCGACACACACACACACACACGCGCGCGCGCGCTTCTATGACAAGAGAAGATGAAACATCACCTCCGAGCCTGCCTGATCGTCTTCACAGTTGCAGCAGTTTATAGGGGTGTTAATGAAAACAAAGACAATCTGATTATTTGATGGATGATGACATTTAATGCATTGTCGAGAGGCTGTTAAATAATTGACTTCAAATGGATCAAACGGGGGCTTGATGAGCAGGACTCGCGTCCCAGCCGGCATGCAGCCCGAGCTCAAACGTGGAAACATCTGCTTCACACGCGCAGCTGGATAATCCGGCCCAACTTTCGTATTTTTCTATTCAAATCAAGACGAAAAGTTCATTAAAGAGAATAAATATTTCATTAGATGCTAAATAAAACAAAGGGGATTTTTTTGGCTTCTCTCAGCACAAAATTCCTTTGAAAGATTAATTAATACATGTAAATTATGCAAATTATGCCCATGCAAATATTTTATGAAGACAATTAAGGGATCCATTAATTACGGTCTTTTTTGCTTCAGTGACATTCGTTCATTTAATTTTAATTTCACTTTAACTGTTTTGATGTTTAATCTTGCAACAAAAGAACTTTATCTCGGCGCGCAGGGGTCGTGTAAACTCGCCCAACACGTGGAGTGGTGGAGGTGGCGGGGAACCGGGGGAGATACCGCGGGAAGATATTCACACGGTTGCCAGGCAGGCGAGGCGAGGCGAGGCATCGGTGAGGTACGGTCCCAGCAGCTCGCCTGCCTGTGAAAAGAGCCACGTTCCCTTTTCTTGGACTCGATTCAAAACACTGTGAAAGCAATTAATAAACACAGACTGTGTTAATATCGCAGAATTAGAGAAGTGTGACAAAAGACAAATAGAAATAATTAGTTCTCTAAAATTATGCCCCTCATTATCCCCCCTCCCTCCATTCGCCTCTGAGTTTGGAGTCGAGAATGCACCCACACATTTCTCTCGGCTTTCTCAGCTTTGATAGGCTTGTTTTTTCTTTTTTCCTCCCCTCCTTTCTGCTTGTGTAATTTATCAACATCATTTTTTGCCATTTGAGGTTAATTATACAGCGAGGCTTGCAGAGCAGAGTAGAGGAGACATGGGTGGCAGACAAATGCTTCTCTAATTGAACAAAACAGAAAAAAGCGCAGCCTGTTATTTGGTTTCATTCCACTCTTCGAGGCAGTGATCAGAGTGATTGAGAGACTGCAGAAATTATAAACACCACAGTAGCACTGTTTCACAGAAATCAGATTTGTTTAAACCTCAGCGATACTTTCAAAACAGTACCAAAGCTGCTTTAACGCACAAGTTTGATCACGTTTTATTTAATAAAACTACTAAACAAAAGTGTCAGCTCTTTATAAAAGTATAAAATTAGCTAAATGTGAGAATTTGGTGTGAAATGAGGGGTTATAATTACTTTATCTGCAAGTTATCTTTGTATTTAAATAATGACATATGGATTCCCCTTCTTCTTGTCACATCAAACAGTTTCAGATGCCTGCAGTGACTAAATGACATTTAATTAAGGAGGAGTCATCGTTTCTCTTTGGCTCAGTTTTTTTTTTGCCCTTTTCCAAAAATACACGCCGTCCAAGTAGATTAATCGCAAATTAAAGAGTCAAAGACGAATATTTCCCTTTTTTTTCTTAGCAAATTACATACAAATGTAGTTTTTCTCCCCTGGATAAACTGGGCAACCTCCCCTGCTGATAAGAGCAGTTCTGAGGCGAATTACAGCACGACAATGTGAGTAATAATGAGGATTTCCAACCTTTGCGGAGTGTCTTGAATCTGGGTAAACACAGATAGAAGAGAGTCCAGGGAGGTTATCGCTAAAGCACCCCCCTTCACCAAACACAAACTGCACCCCCAAGGCTAACAAACAAACAAATCGTTAAAAATGCACAGGGCTTATTCATAAAACGGATTGATTTGCCCTGATTATGACTATCAAAGGAGGGATTGCACCGCTTTTGTGGTTTATAATGACTCATTACGGCTTCCTGAGGTATAAATAAGCAACTTCTTTTTCCTTCAGTCTTTTCACCTCAGTCTCAGTACTGGAACGCTCTCATCCTGACAAAGACCTGGCTGCTAAACCGCTAACAGTTGAGTAAAAGAATAATGTTATTCACACACAAAAAAACAATGATCTTGACCTAGTGCTTTGGCCCAGATGGTGGTGTATGTCTGAACAGCAGGCACAGAAACACTAATGTTCATAAACCGACGCTGTGTGAGTGTGTGTGTGAAGGAGGGGGAATGCAGGAAGAGGAGGGAGGGGGTAGGTATGTAGGTAGGTAGAGGGAAAGGAGAGCAAAAGTGAGAGCCGGGGGGGGGGAGGGAGGGAGGAGAGAGAGAGAGAGAGAGAGAGAGAGAGAGAGAGAGAGAGAGAGAGAGAGAGAGAGAGAGAGAGAGAGAGAGAGAGAGAGAGAGAGAGAGATTTATTGTCTCATCTGAGCCCCTGTACCTTGTATTGTCCTTTCAGCATCTGTTCTTCCACTGCTGCGGTCACTCTCCATCTCAGGGGTCAGAGAGTCTGCAAGAGGAGAGGGATCACCGCCGTTAAACACGCCTGACATCCACCTATCACGGCGCTGCTCTCACAGCATCATTCATCCCAAAACAAGAGACCAACAGAACGACATCTCTGCTCAACGTAAAGAAGTCATCTGGACCAGAAGGTGCCTCTGTGGAAGGGTTTCTTTAAATTTCAGATGCACCGATTTCAGTTTCGCGGGCCGATAAAAATTGTTGATTTTTTTGTTTCACATCAATAACCTGCTTATGCAGACAGTCCTGAATTCAACAGATTAAAATGTATAGTTTTGTCTAATTTCTTATTAAATTAAATAATCATTAGTCTGTAGCGTTGATGATGCACCAAGAAGCTTTGGAAGCATGAGGTTTTATGACCATGTCAGCTGAGATAAGTCCACCTGCTCCTAACCCTCACAGCACTGTCCATGTCCATGTGCTTCTTAGGAACATCTAGGATGGTTGGCTTCCTTCTGATGTTTAAATTCAAGGTTTTGTGTCTGTAAATTATTGGAATCCAATGAATAATCAAGAAAAGCGGCCGATACCAACGACAAGCTGATTCTTAACATAAAATTGATCATTTAACCAGAAATCTAGAAAGATTCCTAAAAAAACAAATTAAATAAAAATTTAGATCTGTTTTTACCAAAGTTCTAAGTTCTGACACTTCTCTGAAGCGAAACTGTCACATTTGCCTCTCGTTTTCCTTCATGAACTCTAAACGCTGCATTATTACTTTCTATATTTGAGTCCACATGATTGGCTGTGACCTGCATATACATACAAATAAGGTGCAAACTCGTAAACATCCCTTCCCTACAGACGGCAGAGTGAGCCTGCAGCTTTATTAGCATCCGAGCTGCAACAATCAGCTAATGACTCTAATGAATGACCAATAAATCTTTAAGATGATATGTGTGTGAGAAATCTCCATCCATCCATCCATTTTCGTCCCCTTATCTGGAGTAGGGTCGTGGGGGCAGTAGCCTGAGGCAAGAGGCCCAGACTTCCCTCTCCCCAGCCATTTGGTCCAGCTCTTCTGGAGGAATCCCAAGGCGTTCCCTGGCCAGGTGAGAGACATAGTCCCTCCACCGTGTCCTGGGTCTACCTTTAGGTCTCCTCCCAGTTGGACATGCCCGGGAAACTTCACCAGGGAGGCATCCAGGAGGCATCCTGTCCAGATGCCCGAGCCACCTCAACTGGCTCCTCTCGATGGGGAGGAGCAGCAAATCTACTCCGAGCCCCTCCCGAATGACCGAGCTTCTCACCCTATCTCTAAGGGAGAGCCCAGCCACTCTTCGGAGAAAACTCATTTCGGCCGCTTGTAGCCGTGATCTCGCCTATCCATCTCACGCTCTAGTTTTCCCTCACTCGTGAACAAGACCCCAAGATACTTAAACTCCTCCACTTGGGGCAGGACCTCATCGCTGACCTGGAGAAGGCATTCTACCCTTTTCCGAATCAAGACCATGGTCTCAGATTTAGAGGAGCTGATTCTCATCCCAGCTGCTTCACACTCGGCTGTCAACCGCTCCAGCGAAACAAGAAGAAGAAGAAAGTATCATTTCTATATGCTGCCCCCGATATCCACGTGATATGACAACACAGCCCCACAACATCCAGAGCCTTAAGGAACTCCGGGTGGATCTCATCCACCCCTGGAGCCTTGCCACAGAAGAGCTTTTTAACCACCTCAGTGACCTCAGCACCAGAGATTTGAGAAGCCAACCAGTCCCCAGACTCTGCTTCTTCACTGGAAGACGTGTCAGTGGGATTGAGGAGGTCTTCAAAGTATTCTGCCCACCGATCCACAGCGTCCTGAGTAGAAGTCAGCAGCACACCGTCCCCACTATAGATAGTGTTGGTAGCGCACTGCTTTCCCCCCTGAGGCGCCGGATGGTGGACCAGAATCATGGTCTCACCGAACTCCTCCCACGCCGGGGTTTTCGCCTCGGCAACCACCCGAGCCACGTTCCGCTTGGACTGCCGGTACCCGTCAGCTGCCTCTGGAGTCCCACAGGCCAAAAAGACCTGATAGGACTCTTTCTTCAGCTTGACAACATCCCTAACCGCCGGTGTCCACCAGCGGGTTCGGGGGTTGCCACCACGACAGGCACCGACGATCCTGCGACCACAGCTCCGGTCAGCCGCCTCAACAATGGAGGCACAGAACAGGGTCCATTCAGACTCAATGTCCCCCGCCTCCCCCGGAACATTTTGTAAGTTCTGTCGGAGGTGGGAATTGAAGCTCCTTCTGACAGGAGACTCTGGCAGACATTCCCAGCAGACCCTTGTGATACGTTTGGGCCTCCCTGGTCTGACTGGCATCCTCCCCACCATCTGAGCCAACTCACCACCAGGTAGTGGTCAGTTGAGAGCTCCGCCCCCTCTTCACCCGAGTGTCCAAGACATGCGGCCGCAGGTCAGATGAAACAACAACAAAGTCGATCATCGAGCTGCGGCCTAAGGTATCCTGGTGCCAAGAGCACATCTGAACATGGTGTTCATTATGGACAATCCATGACTGGCACAGAAGTCCAATAACAAAACACCACTCGAATTCAGATCAGGGGGCCGTTCCTCCCAACCACAGCTCTCCAGGTCTCACTGTTGTTGCCCACGTGAGCGTTAAAGTCCCCCAGCAGAACGAGGGAGTCACTGGAAGGAGCGCTTTCCAGCACCTCCTCCAAGGTCTCCAAAAAGGGTGGGTAGTCTGAACTGTGTGAGACATCTTTCAGACATAAATCTCAGTTCATCTCCAGCTTCTTCATCGCCTGAATGTATCGACTTCTGGTCAAAACAATCAATCTGAAGATATCCATAAAGACTAATCAGCCAGGAGCTGGATCAGATGGTTCAGTCGTTTTTAAACTAACAGGCAGCTGTAGAAGTTGCATCAAAGTTAAACATCTTTAATAACAGTTATGTTTGTTTAAAATGAAAAAGCTGTGATGTAGATCAGAAAAGTCTCACAGTGGATCGTCTGACCGTTGAGCGAACGCATGCTGTCAGAGGGCGACGGCTGCTTCAGGGTCTGCTCGGCCTGCTCTCGCCGTTTGGACTCGTACTCCAGAGCTTCTTGGAGTTTCCTCTTGGCCTTTTTCTCCTTCTTTAGGCGCTTCTGGATGATTGCTGAGACACGATGAGAAGAAAAAAAATGGAGTAACTCCAACATTCTGGCAGCCAAAGATAACAACCACTTTGCTTTAAATCTAGCACCCAATTATGAGAAAAGTGCAAATCAATTAAAGCTAAATATTTGATGATATATAAAGATTTAACTAAGAAAATCTCAGCAAATACTGACTGTGACTTAGCAAACGGCTAGAGGGAATTAAAAGCTAATTGAAAAATTTATTGGGATATTTTTCATGAATTTCTCTCATTAAACATAAACGATACAGTTAGCGTACGACTCTGATGCATTTTACATGAGGCTGGGCTCGGCTGTGCGCGGGATGTGTATTTCCAATTATGTTAACAGACCACAGAACAGGAAGACCTATCCGATTTTATGTGGAACTGAGGAGACGCGGCGTGGCGAAACATCACACATACACGCAGAACTGTGTCAGTACATTCTGGAGCGTTTTGTATCTAAATGAGCACAACCCTGTGAAGTCTGTACACACACTGTCACGCATGCTTGCCAACACACACACACACACACACACACACACACACACACACACACACACACACACACACACACACACACACACACACACACACACACACACACACACACACAATGGCAGGTAGTACCTCTGTTTTTCTGCTCCATGGCGAGCTGCTTCTCCAGAGTCTCCCTGAGCTCCCGCTCTCTGAACAGCTCCATCTTCAGCTCCGTCTTCTCCAGCTGTACCTGCTTCTCCTGAGCTCGCGCATTGTCGATTGCCACTTTCAGAAGGCCCTGCACCCACACACACACACACACACACACACACACACACACACACACACACACACACACACACACACACACACACACACACACACACACACACACACACACACACACACACACACACACACACACACACACAGGTGAAGAAGACTATTTAAGACCTCTACATAAAGTGACAGGCAATCTTTTCCTTTTTAGTCATTAAAATGTATGTTTAAAAACTAAAAGCCAGATATGTCTGATCATCTGTGGACATGAGATTAAACTGGGCTTATTTTTTATATTTTATGATTTGCATGTAGAAATTAGTTTGACTGATTTGTCATTTATTTATATATTAACATTATAAATAATTATATTTAAATGTGATTAATGATGGAAGAAGGAAAATTAACACAGAAAAAAAAACCTGATAAAAAACACGAGCAGGTACTGTGGCCTCAGATTTTGGTCTAATGTTTTCAATAACTGGAAAATCTAGCAGACATCCTCACCAACATTAGCGTGTTTAGCAGCTCGTGGCTTCAACCCATGCTTTAGAGTCCTTTAATTGTAGAAACACTCCTCTTTATCCACTGTGAAAGCTTTAAATGACTTGTGTGAACATTGACTGGAGCAGAACTCAACTGATGTATAGCGCCCACTTGTGGTGTGGAGGAAAACTATGCTCTGACGTCATGGACTACCTCTTAGTGCAATTACTTCAAAACAGCTTTTTGGAACACAAATCTGATGTGGAATTTGAATTATTTGTTTATCTTCACTAAAGACGGCTGACATTGAAGTGAGAATGTGTAGTTTTTAACGTTGGAATTATCCATCGAAATTATGTAGAAAAATAAAAATAATTATGTCCAGTAGTTGCAAAATATTAGCGGCCTTGTAACAAATAACCATAAGAATCAGGTGCAAAGTTAATAGGGCTCAGGTCTAGCATCACGTTTCCTTCTGGCTGGTTCCTGCGTCTGTTGATGATGTCACACAAGATGACTGGATGGACGTACGACTTACAGAAGTTACATTACCACATTTGAAAACGTTCAGAAAGTAAAAAACAAAACTGCTAAACTCTTTCCAAAACCTATGTGAAAGAGCAGAATAAAAAAGAAAGAGATGCAATATGTTTTTGCCGAGCGGTATTGCCGTAGTTTGAGGTGCAGGAGCCCGAGCTGATCCGTAAACTACAGCACCAGAAAATTACAATTGGCACAGAATTTTCTTGATTGAATTAACTGGATGACCATCAAAGTCTGAGGAGTCACGCCGAGGCATGCTTCCTGTTCCACAGGTAACATCACGGCGATGTGCTTTAAAACTACCATGAGATGTACGCACTGCCCCCTAGTGCCAGGAAACTACACACTGTCACTTTAATGTGGTGATAAGTCTGCACCTTTTGACCTTCCAGTAGCTGCACCTTCAAGGTCACATTTAACCTATTATCTAAATATGTGTTCTCGTTTTCATTAATGTGTATTTAAGGTGTAGTTGCTGTTTTTATACCTAATTTACTGTTTTTGTCCTTCACTCTGACTTTCTTTGTGTGTTTATGTAAGCACACACAAGAACTGGACAGAAAATGACTAAAATGGCTGATCAAGACCACTTTAAAAGATTAAACGAAAATCTTGTTCCTTGAAAGGAAAATAAGAGAGAAGGATTAGTGCAGATTAGCTTTAGTTAATGTTCGTACATATGTCTTAAACCTCTGCTTTAGAACATCTGTGAGGGGATTTTCTTCAGCCTAAAGGTAAGAATCACCTCAGACAGCTCTGCATTCTTACATGAAGACCTTCATCACAATTATTCCCCATCCACATGCAATTAGATCAAATGCACTGGACGATAGCTTACTAATTGTTGCTTCTTCTAACCCCAATTTATTCTAAGTTGCTTTATCTTCATTTTCTGCTTGGTTTCATTTAGTTGATTTGTATATAAATATTCAAGGCGAAGATCATTATCAAAGATGACTAAGAGGAGTGTTGGGAGCTCGCGACGGGTTTTGTTGTGGCGCTCTAATTACCGCAGAGCCAAAGGAGAAGCAGGACTCTGATGACGGTGGAACGAGTGCAATGAGAAGGGCAGCGGGTCCACACATCATTACACCCAGAGAGACGGAGAAAGGCATTCATCTTTCTGATTGAGGGGGTCTGAGCTGATGTCTAAACAGCTCTCTGAGTCGATGGGTGGTGTTAATGTGTGTGAGTGTTTCAGTTTAACGAAAGTGTGAGAGCTTGGTAATGAAATCTGTTTTGTACTGATTCACTTTTTTCTCTACAATTTGATCTCAAAGCACAAACTTAAAAATGTGTGTTTATAAAAAACAAAAATGCACCAAGTGACGTTTTCTGAGCCGAATCAGATTTTTTTTCCCCAAATGTTGGCTCAAAAAATTTTAATGATTGAAATTACATGCTATTTAATAAGCCATAAGACAAAAGATTCCATAGCAAATATGAAATCAGCCTTATGGATCTGCGAGGTTATTTTAAACCAGAAGATAGGAACGTTTTATTGCAGGGATTAGATAACAGCTTCGTATTCACTCAGAGACAACAGAAGAGAGAGAGAGTCGAGTTTAAAGTGGGCCTGACCACTTCGGCAAAAGTTTCTTAGCCAGCTTCCCAGAGGTGTTCTTGGTGTTCCCAGTTTTAGGAGCGAAAATGTAGAACCAGGCCTCATCACCCATGTTGAGTTCAGAATGTGAGGCCTTCTGATCATAATAAGCCTTCCTGCCCTCAGCTGATTTCTCCAGATTTGTCTGTGCAAACGAGAACGCTGCAGGCAGATGGTTCTTCAGGTCCTGCAAATATTGTTCGCTCGTGTAAGCCACAGCGCCACCAGACTGAACTGGCTGGAACTGCAGGTGATGGTTAAACATCAAGAGATCTGGTCGTGTTAGAGGAGAGGGGGAAACATAAAATAAAGAAGGCAGCTCTATTGAATAAAGCCTTTTCATTAGCTTCCTCTATCAACTTTACTTCCTATGACATAATTTCTACAACATTAAAGATAATTTAACATCTATTCAGTCCAATAAAACATGAACAATTAGCAATTAGCTATTGCTAATATGACTTAGCTGTTTCTATGCTGTGTTTTTGGATTGGAATAAACTTGTACAGTTAAGAATGATTTTATTCTGGTTTCTGCCTAGGACATTCGATCCCAGCTCCCGCCAGAGAATGCTGCTGTCGTGTCCCTGGACAAGACCCTTAACCCATCTTGCCTGCAGGTGGTGGTCAGAGGGAGCAGTGGCGCCTGTGTTCAGCAGTCTCAATTTAATCAGTGCGCCCCAGGGCAGCTGTGGCTACATTGTAGCTCATCACCACCAGCGACTTAATATGTTGTGAAGTGCCTTGGGGGGGGTGGGGGGTGGGGGGGGGGGGTGGGGGGGGGACCCTAAGAATACAGATCATTTATCATTTCTGCCGAGGCAAACTGTCACTAAATAATATTATTTTCTTAAAGAGCAAGTCACCCCCTACAAGAAACTTACTCCACTCCCACTTCATGTTTGAAAAATGCAACAAATACTGTTGCCTGGCGGACCGAGAGGGTAAAGCCATTGAAAAATACACACACACAGGCTCACAACAGTTGATTGTACCAGCTAACATCATCGTGTACCTCTTAGCCAATAGCAGTGGCAGATTTAAATTGAAATGTAGTGCAGAGTTTTTACCTGACAGTTTTAGGCAGAATATTTACATTTTTACTAAGATGCACTAAAGTGTCAAATTATGGACTACATGCGTCTGCAGCACGGTAAGACACTCATTTATATTGTCCATCAGCAAAAAAATAAAAGTTGATTTGGGGGTGACTTGCTCTTTAACGTGTGTATTGTCCCATTATTTTACCAGAAGTGGATGGAGCCTAATATTTGTTGTGAAGCCATCCAACAGGGAGGCACCCTATTTACTTATTTGTAATGACTTAATCTTTTGGATTTCATTCATTGTCTAGTTTCTAGCTATATACCAAGGTTAAAGGTGCATTATGTGGAAATGAAGTAAAAATGACATCCAGTGGTAAAATTAGGTTTTTGCAACCACCTTGAACTATCCTGGAGCTTTTTGCCGACCGTTGTCAAATTACAAATGTCGGCGCTGCAGTGCCAGCTCGCAGGAGACACGGCACCCCCACACCAATGATGGTAAACAGTAGTTACGTCCCTCCTTCCTTTGTTTTGAAAGAAGATAATCTGACAGTCCACGCTGCCAATTGGACATGAAATATGTTTCAGAATCACCTTTTCTTCCACAATGACTGAAACATTTGACTCTTTTAGGATTTTCTGAGTAAAATTCACTCTATAATCTTACACACTGCACCAGTGATCAGTTCAGGTATAAATCTTGTTTCCTGCTGAGAAATCAATGAATCCTCGATATAAATCCTTAAAAGGTAAATGAATAATAAAATATTTAAATGCCACTCAAAGGTGTGCTAAATGTTTATATGAAAATCAAATAATGTGAGGATGAAAATTGATCCAATTTCACCAAAATGGGATTTTGGAAATCTGCCACACCTGTGATGATGGTTTGGTTACTTTTTTTAGATTTCTTTAAGACTGACTAAATGAAATGGCCTGTATTTGATATAGCATCTTCTAGAGTCCTGGAACCCCCCAAGGTGCTTTACAACACAATCAGTCATTCACCCATTCACACACACATTCACACACTGGTGGGGATGAGCTACGATGTAGTCACAGCTGCCCTGGGGCGCACTGACAGAGGCGAGGCTGCCGAGTACTGGCGCCACCGGTCCCTCCGACCACCACCAGCAGGCAACGTGGGTTAAGTGTCTTGCCCAAGGACACAACGACAGCGACAGACTGAGTGGGGCTCGAACCTGCAACCTTCCGATTACGGGGCGAGCACTTCACTCCTGTGCCACCGTCGCCCCCAATGAAAGCTAGAGAATTAATTTAAAGCAACACCAAAAGTGACAAGGCAAAGTTTCTTGAAGGGTCAAGTGGGAAATACCTGTATGTTGGTGAGGAGAGTCTCTATTGATGACAAGCCATCTGGGAAGAGGAATGGCGACGGGAAACCAGGAGGCAGAGCCTGTCCAGCCAACGACAACCTCTCATAGCTGTCTCTTGCTGTTGGGGTGCACATCGGGTTGTCATCTGCAAAGAAATGCAATAAACTGATTAAAAGGTCCATAAAAAAGTTGTTTTCATTCAACTTGGGAGAACTGCTAGGGTATGAGCCTCATATTGAGTCTGACACAAGATGACCAGTAGAGATGACTGATCTCCAGAGGGCCATCCAGGCTCTTCCCACATTTCAGGAAAGCAGTGGACTGACAGTCCCCTTGGAGGTTTCTTTGTATTGTTTCTTCTCTGAAGCCAGACAATAAGTGGTTAAGTAATATAAACTATAAATCCAGCTACTGCTTCTCAAAAGATGTCATGTGGATTCCAAAATAAGGACCAGGCTGGCGATTTGACCCCAAAGACTTTCCTTTGTGGACGTACACACGGGTGCCTGTCAAACCTAAGATGACATCATCCTCCATTCATCAGCGGCAGAAGAGTAGGGCCCTGCCATCTGCTGTCCACCTCTCCGCTGGGCTTCGGAGGAGGGAGGAGCAGCAAAAGAGGGAGGGAAGGGAAGCAGGCAGACACATGTACAGCTTGGTTAAACTAAAACACTTTATCATTCTGTTGCCCCGCCAGATCTCACGTGTTTTTGTCCGACGAGTTTTTACCAAACCAAGAATTTGGACCATCTTGGTGAAAGGCACGTTTATTAAACACAAGCAGCTCTTTAGTTGCTAATTCAGTGAAATAAGAAGAAATTATTTTATGTGTTGAGTAGCACCGCACAGCTTTCTGCTCATCCAGTATTCATATCTGTTTACGTGGCAGCCTGAATCCTGTACAAACAGCGAGTGGAGCTGAACAGCCCTGCTGCCTCTCCCTCCCATCAATATTCACCAACGCCAGCCAAGTGCTGGGAACAGCTGGTCTTACATTAATTAGTTTAAAGTATTTATTTCACCCATCCTCAGAGCAGATTGAGCAAAAACATTGGAGATTATTTCAAGCATCTGCAAATGCCCTGGAAACATCCTGGCGCCAAAAGTCGAGTGTTAGGATTCACAGTTTAGGTTTGTAATTTGGAGAACACGTTTTTTTTTTTTCTTTTTTTCTCTCTGAAAGAGGAAGACGGTGAAATATGCACCGCTGGTCCGTGGAGAGAGTAAACAACCTCTCTCCTTTTTCAGACGGAGTTCACTACTGTTGATTAATTAGAATGGATGGTTGCCTAATGGATTAAAATTTGTTTATAATTTGACTTCATAGAAATAATGAATTGCCTTCTTTTAAGAAGCCACTCCTGTGGTAATTTATTTTGCTCGATGCGGTCCTGTCCGCGCTCTGAGGTGGGCGTCTGGGTGGAAGATGTGATGTGCACTCTCCCTGCACAGTGGTGCAACATGAAAGTCCCATTTTATCTCAATAACACAACTAATCAAAGATCAAAAGCATTACAGCTGGCTCCAGCTCAGGTTGATATAGACGTATTGCGTGCATTATATGCATGCATCACCCACCTCCAATAAAATCACCATAACAACCAGAGACGTTAGGAGGCCTCGGGGAAAGGTCTGCTGTTGTAGCTTTGTAATTGATTTGTACTGTAGGCACTTTGTCCCTTATTTAGTGTTGGCATTAATCATAAATCATTGCTTTAACAAACTCCGGCTTCCCACTCAGCAGGCCTCCCCTCCAACACAATGTTGGATCACAGAGAATATTTGATGGCTTTGTTGCAGGGGAAACAACCTGTCATGCTCTGGGAAAAAGCAAACAGCGTGTTTTGTTCAACAGACTCCGACTGCCGTTGCAGCACCTCTTGTCAGACATCATTTCCACCAGGAGTGGTGCATAAATAGCCGCATTTTAGAAAGATTGGAAATGCAAAGCTAATAAGTAACTAACTGAATCTTTTTAATAAAAGGAGCTTAATGAAAGCGGATGCATATGTGCATTAGTGTTAAATGCTGCAGCGTGCAGGTTTTCTGTGCCTCCTCCCTCTTTGCCTGGCTGCAAACGCTGGCATGTGTTTGCATGTTTACTTCTCGCCATCGCTGCGGAATCATTGACTTCAACTTAATTACAGCGACAGGCATTGGAGTGATGGGGGCCGGTGGAATGGAGTGCTCTGTTTCCAGGTGATATTTCTGCACTAGCGAGACTGCCAGCAGCAGCTTTGACAGCCTCTTGCCGAGCACGCCGTACGGTAAAGGTACAGTTAGGGGGCCCCCGCCATGAAATACAGCGTGGAAAAACACTCGCAGGTCACCTCTGTCACAAATAACATTTCATGCACAACTGTTTCGCTGGATAATAGGAGCCACAAATAAAAATGGGACACTGTAAATACAATGCATTCTCAATGAAACGCCATAATTTAAAACAACGCCGCCACCCCGCCACGCGCACACCTCCCCCTCTCTCCATCCTCCGCCTCCACCCTGCTCTCAATAGCTGCAGAGGGAGTCCTTGACAGTGTGGTAGCAATGATGAATCACCTATCCAGTTAATTTTCTCACTCCTCATGTGTTGTGCTACTAAAACAGGGGCCTAAGAATTGACTTGACAAACTATGAATGTAAAAGAAAAAATATCACTTGGAGGGATCTGGGCTTATCTCCAATTTACATGTTATTAGATTTGTGTTGCGAGCGACACTTGGTCCTTGCAAAGCTCAGGCAAAAAAAAAAGAAGAAAAAAGATGGGGCACATGATAACTAGAGATAAAACAGGTCTAAACCCACTTGAAGGCCTTTGAAATGTTTGACGAAAAGTCGCGAGGAAGCGGAGAGCAGCCGTGGAAAGTGGCCTGATTTAAAAATGTGACAGACACGCGCAGCAATCTGTTGTAAATCTAGAAGAAACCTTGGGAAATTTAGCTGCAATCTCTGGATAAATAGCTGTAATTGACCTTGGGAGTTGAAAATGTGCCATATGTTTCTGGTTCCTGTGTTTGAAACTGGGTCCCTCAGGACATTTATGCTGAGTACTCACGTGAGCATGGGGAGAGTTGGTAGAGAGGATGGCAGAAAGAGGATGAGACGTTTGCCAGAAATGAGAGACTGACCGGTTGAGGGCTGAAGACGAATGGACAGAGAGGTGAAGCCTGGTGTCGGTTCGGAGGAGGAAGGTAAAACAGAATGATTGTGAATGCAGACGAATGAGACGAAGGAGGCGCAGAAGGAGAGCAGAGGTACATTTGGCTGGCCATTCAGTGTGATGCATTGACAGGTGAAGACTTTGTCCTTGCAACTCCGTGTTCCTCCCAGCAGGAGAACTGAACGCTAAACCTGGTTGTTGTGAGCAGAGTCAACACAAAGCACGTCTCGGCTTTTGGCTGCACAATTAATCTGATCTGACCCGCCAGCTCTGCAGAGAAAACCAGCCTCCTTCTAATGGGAGCAGTTATGACCTCTTGGACAGCCACTAGCAGCCAATGCTGCATTATTCTAGCTGCACTCAAAGCTCGGGATTCAGAACGTCTTGTCAAGGCAAATATCTGTTCTGCTGTAAATGCAGCAATGCAGAGCTGGAGGGAAGTAAGAAAGTGGCTGCATGAGATCTGTGCACTTAATAAACTCTAGCTGATCTGGCAAATGAAGTCTGATTCATAAAGATGCAATGCATTTTGTTAAATTAATTTTATAACTTTAATAAGCCCAGGACGGTTTCAAAAACTTGGTAGGTTTTCTGTTTCTTGTGCAAAGTTGGAAGTTGTATATAACGTCAGCTTTAAACACAAAGTTTGACTTTACAGCAATGCTTCTTAAAGGAAAAGTTCGGATTTATATGCAAAGATTAGGAATAAAAAAAAAGAGAAATAGAGTTTGATTCTGACTGAATTGATTCAGCAAGTCTGAGATTAGCTAAGAATAAAGTGTTTAGCTGCGATTGCAAAACAGCTTCAGTCACCAAATTCTCATTTAGCTACAAACGTAAATATCACCAGCAACAGAAGAATGTAGCACATTTGGTTGATCAGGTCCCAAAATACACAGATAATGTGAAACTGACACCTTTTCACGCTGACAGCATCAGCGGAATGTCGCTGCTTCAAACAGAATCCATTGTAGTCTACGGAGCGCTTCAAAACAGCCGCAATGTGGCAATTTTCAGGCGCATCCCAGAAGCGGTACAAGCGCCGTGCCGCACCTCGGCGCTAAAGATAGGATTGAGTTTTTGCCACAAGCCGCTTCTGGGACATGTCCATTCCCGCAGTTATCAACGGGCTAGACAGGAAATCACACGTAGTTTCAGTGTAAAATCCCCAGTAATTTCAAAATAAAAGTAATGCAGTGATTCCTATATGTGAAGCTCACATGTGAACCACTCCCAGTATCGTTTGAGAAGTGCAGCGGTGTGTTTTTCATGGCTTTAATCCTGGCAGTGGAGAGGAACGACATCATATATAACATCAAACAGCAATATCAAATGGGATCTCCTTCGTTTTGGTTTAATGGCGGATTGCATAAACAAACTATAACCTTTGAAGTCTCGAGGGATTTTGTGATCTCGCGAGTCCAGCGAGGACGTCATTCCGTGGCCAAGACTCTCTGTTGACTCCCGGTGTGTCGAAGCTCGCGGGTAAAACGATCCGCAGCTCTTGATGCTTCCAGTGTTAGACTCGGGTGACAAAAAACGTTTAAATGTCACATTATTAAATGCCTACTAAGCAGTTTTGCTTACTTTTAGCACCCTTTAATGTCCGTTATTATTTATTTGTGATCAAAGCACAAGGGAACTCGTCCTTGCTGTGTGTTCGTCTTTTTAACACCTTAATCTAGCCGAAATCTCCTCAGCCTTCATCTGTTTCTACAGAAGCAGTTCATCACTAAATCACAAACATCAGCTGTGTTCATGATCTAAAACATGCAGGATTCATGCCGGATCTAGACTGCAGCACCAGGTATGTGAGGTCAATTTTTTCCAAGTCCAACAAGTGGTGCCCCATCACTCTGAAGTTGCAAATACGGTATTCTGACCACAGAGGACGGTGGGGGTCCAAATTACATTTGAATAACCCTGTAAAGAATCGATTTAGCACATACTGGCTCAAGAAAATGATTTAAAATACGGAAAAGTTG